CCCAAGGCTTCAAGGCTCCAAGGGTGACCTTATTAGAAGGCCTGCTACAGGGATGAGATGAATCATCTCAGACTGAAGGCGCTGCCACCAGCCTGATGCTAACGCCAGGGCTGGACTTGAAAAATGGAGGGATCACAAGTTTCTTTGAAAGGGGGCCCCTTCCTTGGCTTGTTGACGTTGTCTTCACAGAAAGTCCCCATCTGCCAGTGGGCACAGGAAACAGTGTCAGGGCGCTGTTGGCTTCCTGCTCAGACCACAGGGTTGGTCCACAACCACCAGGAACCTTTGAGGTGGGCTTGAGAGCTGCATGTCTCCACTTGGACCTGATGCTGTGCTGTTGTGTGGCCACTGTTCAGAAGGGTTTATAGGGGGAAGGAGAGAACAGAAGGGTTGGTGTGGGTTTCCAAACATTGTGGGCAGGAAGTAGGCCACCTTAGCAGGTAGACATAAGAATTTCTGGCTCTGGGAACCTTATGGGACTTAAGCATGTTGAAAGTTATCTTACAGGGGCTGGAGGGAGATGGTTGAGTGGTTAGGTGCGCTGACTGCTCTTGCAGAGGTCCCAGGTTCAATTCCAGGCATCCACATGGAGGTTCTCATACATTTGTAACTCCAATTCCAGGGGATTCAGCACCCTTGTCTGGTGGCCCTGGGCACTGGGCATACACGGTAAGCAGACATATATGCAGACAAAACACCGACACACATAAGATACAAATAAATTAAAAAAAAAAGAAAGGTGTCCTACAGAGGATCACCTTAACGAACATATCTGCTTGATTCCTGCCTCTTATTTATTTTTTAAAAGATATCATCTCTTTATTTTCATATAAAGCCTGGCAGTGGTGGCAAACACCTTTAGTCCCAGCACTCGGGAGGAAGAGGCAGGCAGATCTCTGTGGGTTTGAGACCAGCCTGGTCTACAAGAGCTAGTTCCAGGACAGCCTCCAAAGCCACAGAGAAACCCTGTCTCGAAAAACAAAAAAATAAAAAAATATTTTCATATAAAATTGCATATTTGTGAGCTCATACAGATTTAAGTGTATAATTTGATGATTTGGAGCTGTTGGACTAGTGTGACTATCTACATAGCCAATACCCTAGAAGTAGAACATTGTCTCTACCCTAGTAGGTTTCCTAGTACCCTTTCCCAGTTGACCATCACTGCCATACCCCAGGTGACCCCTGATTCTCTTTTACTAATATAGTGAGTGTCATATAAGTGAAATCATATAGTATGTACTTTTTGATGGCTTGCTTCATTTGAATGTTACAATTTATAAGACATTAACCTGTGGGTGTATGTGTATATCCATGTGTGTCTGTGTTTGTGCACATGTATTTTGTGACTGCACGCATGTGTTCTGCAAATGTGTGTGCGTGCCAGGGGACAATCTTGAGTCTTATTCCTTAGAGGCCATTTACCTTTTCTTGAGACAGGGTCTGGAACTCACCAAATAGGCTAGGCTGACTGGCAAGAAAGCCTCAGATGTCTGCCAGTTTGTTAGTGAATTTGTCAAGAATGTTTTTTAAATGGAGGGTGTTGCCTCTTCCTGCCAAGGGCTCCACACTCAGCATGCCTGACTTTACTCATTTCCAAGTACTTTTTTCCTAAACAATGGGCTTTGAGCTGTCACTGGGCTGGAAAGATCAATCAGAATTAGCATGGTGACAACCCAGGGTAAAGGTGTATGAACAGGAGATGCGGGGCTGGTGATTTAGAGCATGGATAGACCTCCTGCCTAGAGTGTGCCAGTCTGGGTTCCATCCCCAGAGCCACCCAAACAAAGGAAACACAAAATGGGAAATGCAGTTAACATGCCCTGCTGAGTCAGAGGGAGGGGAACTAAACAGCTGGGAGGAGAGGGTATTAGTTACTTTCCTCATTGCTGAGCCAGACTCTTGACAAAAGCAACTCAAGGAAGACAGGGTTTATTCCAGCTTAAGACTTGAGCAGAAATACACAATGGCAAGGGAAGGAAGGCATCGCTAGTCACGTTACACCCCCGGTCTGTCTGTAACCCCAGCCCACAGAACGGTCCTGCCAACATCAGGGGTGGGTCTTCCTACCTCAGTTTCCCTAGTCTAGAAAATCCTTTTCACAGACGTGCTCAGAGGCGTGGTTAATTGTCCACCAATACTAAACATCACAGAGGGTCTCAGGGAGGAGGTAGTTTTGCATTGAGCTTACTAGAAAACAGTGGGCTCCACACTCAGCACTCAGTTCTAAACATTGAGCTTAGAATTCTTGGGAAAGCATGGTGGCGGGCTTCACCTGGGTGGGGGGATAGGGGTGTGGGGGGAGGGAGGCAATGAGGACAATCGTAGCACAGGGAGGAAGGTGGAGACCCACACCAGTGTCCTCTGTTCACCTTTGCAGCAGCCAAACCATGGGAGACTTGAGCCAGCAGTCTGACTGAGAAGTGTGCAGAAGGGAGTGTCCACTGTAGCTCTTCTCTGGGGGCCACAGGACTGCTGCCTTGGAGCAGATCCACTCTGTGTCTCATGGACTTGGCTGGGTCCTGTCACCTGCAGTTAGTTTTCTTGAACAACTTTGTTCTTGTTCCACCTTTTTGCATGCTGACAGGCAGCACACCTGGGGAAGATCTGGGCCTCTTCCTTGGTCCTGCAGAGTGAAGGGCTTTCCGCTCTCCATAGTGAGTCACTTGGCAGACACCATGTTGACACTCAGTGACCTGGGTAACTGGGTCTTTGTGTTGAGCAATGGCCTTCAAATTCTGTGCCTACCTTCCCTGCCCCCCCCCCAGGCTGAGGTTCCTGGTCTTTGGTCATGGTCACACCCCAGCCTGGCAAGAGAGCAAGGTTACTGAATCTGTATGTGCCGATACAGTAGCCAAGAAAAACAATGTTAATTCCTTTCCTCGTATTTGCAGAGCACTTTGTACTCTGTCGGCCATGATTGGGCTTCTTTTTCCACCCAGACAGCTGTGTTTGTCTGGTACCTACTATGTGTCAGGTGTGGGACACCATTAAGCTGGTGTTAGAAAGTGCCTACCATCTATTTTGGAGGTCATATGAAAAATGAATGTAAGAAATAGTGAGACATGAGAAATATAAGCCAGGACCGAGAGGAGAGAATGGTTGGTTTGTCTGGAGGGACCTCAGAGAGGAGGTGGCATTCAGTAGGTCAGAAAATGATTGGTAACTTCTTGGACTTGGAGGGTGGTGTAATCTAAGTGGGACCATCTCTGGCAAGCCAGGACGGCATCCCCAGCTGTCAGGAGCAAGTTGGGATGCAGGAAGAAGGTAGGGTAAGAAACAAGGTTGGAAAAGTGACCAGGATGAATCTTGATGGGCATGGGGTAAAGCAACCCAAGTTTAGACCTTCTCTGTAGCAGGAAGTCCCTCTGGGGACTTTGGAAAGGCATCACTGGAAGCAGCATGCAGTCTGGGTTAGAGAGAAGTGAGATCATGAGTAGAGTAGGTCACTGGCCACCCACTGGAGAGATGCAGCTTGGCAAAGGGTGTGAGCTGTTGTGTTCTTCACCCTTTCCATGAATAAGTTGTCTCTAGTGCTTGTTACACACAAGGTAATGTGGGACACAAAGATGAGAGACACATTGATTCTGCCCATTGGGAAACCGAAGTCTCTAATCAGGTCTATGTTAGCCTCAAGCAACAGAAATAGTTCAGTAAACTGACTCTGACAAAGCAAAGAAACAAAAAGAGCGTATGTGTGCGGGTGGGTGGATGTTGGCTCATACTTGGACATTTCTAGTAGTTGGAGCTTCTGAGAAGGTAGCATCCTGGTGGCCCAACACTGTACTTTGGAATCTGCACTTTTCCATCATTGTCTGATAGTTATTTTATGTGGACTTCCTCCCTCTCCAACCCCAATATGTCTAACAATGATTTTCCTTTTTTGTTGTTTTACAGATTGGTTTATTAACTTTTGTTTGGCCCTTGGAGTGATGTGTTTATTAATTTAAGTACATTTTAACTGTGGCAAAGAAAATGACATGGTATAAAATTTTGTCACTTTAATGTATGTGGTTGAGTAGTGTCATTTATATTCACTCTGTGTGGACATTATTCTGTTTGTTTGGCTTGGTTGTTTTGTTCTCTTGAGATGAGGTCTTAGTAATTTGTCTCAGGTAGCCCTCAAATTCCTGATCTCCTGCCTCAGCCTCCTGAGTGCCAAGATTACAAGCATGTGTTATTAAGTCTGGCTAGCTATTAAAAGTTTTTTTTAAGATTTATTTATTTATGATTTTATGTGTATGAATGTTTTGCCTGCATGCATGTCTATGTACTGTGTGCATACCTGGTACCCGCCCACTGAGGTAAGAAGAGGGCATTGGCTGCCCTGGGACTGGAGTTATATAGAAGGTTGTAAGATGCATTACAGGTGTTTGAATCAGACCTCAGCCTTTTGGAAGAGCAACAAAAAATCTTAACCACTGAGCCAACTCTCCAGCCCTAGATATTTTTTCTTTTTTTTTTTTAAGGCAGACTTTTCTCTAGCATTTCCAGGTTAGCCGCTGGCACCAGCTTAACAATGCCAGTGATATGAGTAGCAATTATGGGACTGGTTTCTATTGGCCCACATTGGGCCATGCTGCTACCCCTAGCTTGTCACCATGTGTCCTCATGCAGAGACAAGAGGGGGTGGCCAGAGAAAAAGTGGGGTGTTACTGCTGACAGACACAGGCCAGAGCGGCAGGTACCCGCTGCAAGCAGATAGCTTGTCAACACAGACAGCGTCCCGGAGGTGAACAGTCAACTCTAAGTGACTGACTGAGCTTGTGCTGCAAGGGTGGCACAGTAGGACTCATCATATGGGGTCCCACTGCCTTTTCTTGGCTCATCGCTTGCTCCTGGCAACTGCTAACACCACTGTTGCTTCAGCTTCCCCCTTCCCTCCATGGACCTCAGCCCCCCACTGGCCGCTCCATACCATGTATCATCCCCTCAGATGCACCTACCCTGTGCCTGGGAACTCAGCAGGGCGGGTCTGAGGCTCTCTGTTTCTCCCATAGGCCTCTCCCTGGAACGCCTGCCCAACTCCATCGCCTCCCACATCCGCCTGACTGAGCGGGAGGAGGAAGTGGTTGCCTGTTTTGAGAGGGCCTCCTGGGTGGCTCAGGTATTCCTGCAAGAGCTGGAGAAGGTGAGCCAGGAATATGGGTGTTATGCCAATAGTTGTCCTCTCTTGATCACAAACCTCTTCGTCCTCCTGGATATTGGAAGAAGGCACTGCCTCTCCCAACACGCCACTTCTTTGGCTGGAGAACCCATGGTGCGCTGGTTTTGCTAGGGACTCTTTACCCAAGAGGAGACTTTTAATATAAGTGGGTCCATGTCACATGCAAGGGAGCAGGAACCGAATGGTGAACTGAACTTGCCGGGCCAGATGTGACAACCCCTATCTGTACCTATTCACTTGATCACTCCTGATGACAATCCTGGGACAGAGGCTTCACGGGCCGTCCCGTAGTTATCGAGATCAAACCACTGGTCCCTTGGCGCAGGCAGTCCTGTAGTTAGCGAGATCAAAACACTGATCCCTTGGACAGCACAGGGTCAGGCTGATTCTTGCCCTTTGTCATCCTTCCCTGCCTTCCGGCACCTCAGGAGAGAGAGCTTTGCTGAGCTTCCAGGGAAGGTGGGCCGTGGGACCCATTCTCCTGCCTTTCAGAGGCAGCCAGAGGCAGCCAGCAGGATTTGAGCAAGTCCTCAGCCCCCACAGCTCCCACCTTCCCATGGCGGGCCTGTCTTAACTGTACACAGGGCATCCGCCCGCAGTGTGCCCTGTGAAGGATCTCAGCTCCTCCTTGTATTCAGGACCTACTTTCATGCCATGCCGAGCTCTGAGGGTCTCACATGCATTCTGACACTTGACCCTCTCAATGAGGGGACAAAATAGGTCCATTATTCACATTTTACCGATAAAGAGGGTCGAGATTAGAAAGAAGTTACAGCCTCCTGAGTTCATGATATCAATGAGTGGCATTGGCAGGAGTGCCAATCTCTAACGTTTGTGTGCATCTTTTTTTTTTTTTTTTTTTAATAGAGTTTCTCGGTGTGGCTCTGGCTGTCCTGGCACTTGCTCTGTAGACTAGGCTGGCCTTGAACTCACAGACATCCCCCTGCCTCTGCTGGGATTAAAGGCATGCGCCACTACCACCTGGCAAGTGGAAGGTTCTTTAGCCGAGTGAGTTAGAATTGGCATACAAAGGAAGGAGCAGATGGGAGCTCAGAGCCATGATAGTCCAGAAGGCACCTAAACACTGTTTGCTGTGTAAATGGCGGATTCACCTGGGGCCAGTCACGTCACTAATCAAGGGGCTTTTGTCCTCATTGCTATTGACTTTTGAGACTGGAATCTTCTTTGCTATGAGGGCCACCCTAGTATTATATGATGTTAGTAACTCACACCCCAAATTGGAACAACCAGATGCCCTCTGAGAGCCAAATCACCCTGCCCTGGAGCCTTTTGGCTTGGTTGGCTATCAAGAAAAAAGGGGGGATTATAGTCAGGACTCGGTACCTGTTTTCTGGCAGAGGCTGTGTAGAGGTTTGGTTGAGTTGACCCTCACATAGGTCGTCGGGATCATTAATGGACAGCTTTGTCAGGAACTGCTTACATGTCTCTTTTTCACAGAATTCTGCTCCAAGCCAAGTGCTTTTCAGATGTAGAGAGCACCTCCCCCAAACTCTTAGATGACTACTGTACCTTCACTCTTCCTCCTCAGGCCTCAAACAACAGTGCATCGAGGCACCTAAAAGGCAGCCCCTCAGCTGACTACGAACTCACTTACTTCTTGGAAGCTGCCCTCCAGAGTGCATATGTGAAGAACCTGAAGAAAGGGTAGGTGGCTGTTGGCCCAGGAAGCCCTGGAGGCGTCTTCCTGAGACTGGGCTTTTCACATCTGCCTTACTCTGTTCTGGCTGGGCCTGTGCATATGTGTGTGTGTGTGTGTGTGTGTGTGTGTGTGTGTGTGTGTGTGTGTACACATGTGCAAGTGAGTGCGGGGGTACGCATGCACACTCCTAGAAAATTGCATAGAGCTGGCTTGCTTGGGTCATGCCCATGTCAGGTGGAGTGTTCAGAGACCAGGTTGTAGGAGCAATTGAAGCAACAAAGCCTGGTATGCACAAAAGGAGCCCAGACAGGCATGGGTGGAAAACCAGGTGTGGTTCTCTTCAGAGGGACCAATGGGAGCCCGAGACCTAGAGGCTGGTGCTGAGGTCAGAGAGCTGGCTGGCCGGCACTGGCCTGATGGTGGTCACTGTGAAGTTATGGGCAAAGTTATTTCATTTTCCTTAGCCTGGTTCTTGCTCACTTCACTTCTCAATGGATCATGAGGCGTGAAGGGAGGGGATGGTGACAACAAAAGCTCACATCATTTTGAGGAGCCGCTGTCAAAGAGGGATCAGGAAGCTTGCAACCCTGTGCATTACATTGGGGCCTTGGAGCCCCAGAATGTCAGTCTTCATCATCTGTTTCTGCATAGTGAGGTGGAGGCTGGTGTCCTGTGCCAGGCTGGGAGTGCTAGCTTCTAGTGTGCGGTGGGTGGCCCTTGTAAAGGAGGAAGCTATAGCATCAGGAGGGTGCCCTGCTGGCAAGCATGACTTAAAGGTGGAGCTAGGGGTTCCTGGATGCCTCTGCTGCAGAGGTTTGGGGCCCCCTCGCAGTCCCCTCTGGACACTGTGGATTGGGGCTGGAGGATGTCACTGGTAAGACTCGTGTACTGAATGCAGCCTGTCCCCATGGAAGAGAGGGCATGTCCTGTGCCTCCCTCCACTCCCCTCCCACATCCTCACAGCCAGTCAGTAGGTAGGCTTAGGAAAACATTACCTCCTCCTCAAGGTGGCCAAGGGTCAGACCACAGTCACATGGCTTCCTTCTCACAGGGACTCTAAAGTCTCTGTGTCATTTTTGGTTGTACAAAATGTTGCTTTGTTCTTTTTATTTAACTGTGTTTGAGTGGATGGTTCCTGCACATGGCATCTGTTTAGACAAAAGATCAAACACTGCGTTTCCTCTACTCCTGTTTTCAACACTGACTTCATCTGTGAGGAAAGGTGGGGTTTCCCCCACTGATGGGGAGCTCAGTAGGGGGTGTCCCTTACAATTTAGATCAATCTTGAAATTAACCAGTAGGTGCAGAGTCATAAGACTGTCCATCCATCACTCCAGATAGCACTCACAAAGAGCAGGTGCCAGGTTGCCTACAACTTTTGTCCCATTTGGCTGCAAACCACAGCTTCCATGACCTGTTCTCAGTTTCAGTGATTTGCTTGAGTAGTCCAGGGATGTAGGAGTCACTGGGTAATTTCCTAGATTACCCGCTTCTCACATACTAATCCAGAGGGGGAGATGCACTTGCAGGGCCCAGAGGCTCTATACCATCTCAATGAGCCATCCTCCATGTGTACTGCAGCCTAAAAGCTCTCTATTTAGTTCTGTTGTGACGCCAGCACCCTGGTAGGTGCTCACTTAAAGGGTACCCACAATGCTTTGAGGCAGGCATGGCCCTTCCCACTATTTCACAAGCAAGGGAAACAGGTTTGGTGTGCTTGGGGACATGCCTATGGCCACACACAGGCTCTGGCAGCAGAATGTGAGTTTGCTTCCAAGGGTGGTGGTCTAGGGCTGTACTTCCCACCCTGGTGCCCTGCCAGGCATGATGAATATATGGAGGCAAACTGTTTCTACCTGGGACCCCTTTATCTTGTTCAGGAATTCATGCAGTGCCCCCTCTCATCAAGGGGGGGGGGTCCTACATCTCTCTAAGGCCCCGGGCCATAGGTTTGCCTACATCCATCTCAGCTGCGTCTATCTCTTAGGAGTAGCCTCACTGAGCCAAGCTCCTAAATCTGGGAAAGGACTCTACTTTCTTTTATTCCAGGCACTGAGGACAGAGTTCAGAGGCATCCCACATCCTGAAAGGGATGCAGCTCTGTACAAGGATGTTTGGTTGAAAGGGGTGGGTACCCTTGGGGAAAAGCCCTGACCCACTGCTGTGCTGCAGGCCCAGGGCACTTGGAACACCCATAAACCAAGTGATAACTGCAAACAAGGGTTTCAGATCAAAGGTTATATAACCTTTGCCTGGTCTACCACCTGCTCTGTTTGGTCTCCTATCTCAGGAGTCTATGCCTTATTGTTTCCTATGTTTGTGTGGCCAGACCCCTTTCCTGGAGATTGGCTGTCCCTGATTCCTCAGGGCCTAGCTAAAGCTTGCTGTTTCCAACTACAGGCCACAGGTCATTGTGTATCTGTGTCTACCTAGAGCTGGGTTGACTCCAGTAGTAGTGAATTCAGCCATAGTCCCCTCAACCGCAACAGTAGATGACTTCATGAGAATGGAAGGTGGCTGGAACATGAGAGGCTCACAGTTACGAGCAGCATGTACTTCAGTATTTTGTTGTTTTTAGAAGGGGGAACATAAATCTATACCTGTATCTGTAGGCAGACTTTTCTGTCCCACCAGCCACTCACTAAATAACCACACAGAGACTTGTTATTAATTATAAATGCTCGGCCGATACCTTAGGCTTGTCTCCAGCCAGCTCTTACAATTTAACCTATTTCTATCAATCAATATGCTACCCCAAGGCTTGCTTACCTCATCTATGAACTTCCCTTGTTGCTTCTTCCTCGACTGGCTCATGACTCTCATGACTCCCTGACTCTGACCTTTCTTTTTCCCAGCATTCTCTCTGCCCCCAAAATCCTGCCTCGCTATCAGCCAATCAGCTTTTTTGTTTGTTTGTTTGTTTTTGTTTTTTTTTGTTTTTGTTTTTTGAGACAGGGTTTCCCTGTGGCTTTGGAGGCTGTCCTGGAACTAGCTCTTGTAGACCAGGCTGGACTCGGAACTCACAGAGATCTGCCTGCCTCTGCCTCCCGAGTGCTGGGATTAAAGGCGTGCGCCACCACCGCCCGGTGCCAGTCAGCTTTTTAGTAACGATGAGAGCAACACATCTTCACAGTGTACAGGATTATTCCACAGCATGTGTGTGTTAAAAAACACAAATAATAGACCTCAAAATACCCTAGTGATTATCTAGGGCAGGGGCCACAGGTTTTCTCTGTCAGTGAGAGGCTGAAGGTTGAGTTGATCACCAGTTTTGACCAATCACGCCTGTTTAATGGCTTCCATAAAACCACCATCCCTGGGAGCCAGTCCACATGGTGCGTCCAGTGAGCAAGTCCCCTCTCCAAACCCATTTCCCTTGCTTTGGAAGTAGTGAGGAGGACCATGCCTGCCTGGAAGCATTGTGGGTATTAAACCACAAATGAACACCTGCCAGAAACAGTATTACAACTGCTTAGACCATCAAAACCAGGAACATCATCTGTTTTTAGTGTATTTATTCCCATTCGGTTCATGGTTGAATAGGCTGCTAGCCTAGGTGTAAATTTGATACCTTTAATTTTTCTTATTTTAGTCTTGTTGAATACAAGGCTAGGCAGGGTTGGTGTCCTCATTTGACCACAGACATGTGAACCCAAAGACCCAAAAAGCCCAGGCAGTTTCACTGCTCAGGGTGGGGCTGCCCACAGCCTTGGGCTCCCCAGACCACCTGTGGCTGTGAAGGGGCCCCAGAGTACACAGAGGCTCTGAGGAGCCCAGCTGTCCCCACCCACCGCCACATCTGTTATTTTTTTTGGTCGCTTTCCAGTTGCTGATCATCAGTTCAGAGACAGTGGCATAGCCCCTCTGGTTCCTGTTTTTACTGCCTAGAGATGTAGTTTGGGTCTGTCATTGCTCTGGCCTTGCTGTGTCTGGAGTGCAGTCTGGCATCCCTCCCCTCAGGAGCCTCTCCAATTGCTAGTTGGAAGTTTTCAAGGGTGAGAAAGGATGATGCTACCTTCAGACCCCTGCTTGGGGGCTTTGAGAGGAGGTCAGGGTCATTTGTTTCGGGCTGTGAGCCCCTTATGAAGCCTAGTGTGAACAGCAGATTGGCCATTGCCTATTTCTGTAAATTAATCTGTCATTAGAACAACCACACTCATTCATTCATTCATTCATTCATTCATTCATTCATTCGTGAGTTGTCTGCACAGACCTTAGAGCAAACCTGTATATACCATCTTTTTTTATTTGTTTATTTTCAAGACAGGGTTTCTCTGTGGCTTTGGAGGCTGTCCTGGACTAGTTCTCATAGACCAGAGTGGTCTTGAACTCACAAAGATCCTCCTGCCTCTACCTCCTGAGTGCTGGGATTAAAGGAGTGTGCCACCACCGCCTGTGTGTGTGTGTGTGTGTGTGTGTGTGTGTGTGTGTTGGTGGTAGTGTTTCAAGACACACTGTGTAGCTCTGGCTGTCCTGGAACTCGCTCTGTAGACCAGGCTGGGCTCGAACTTACAGAGATTCACCTGCCTCTGCCTCCCAAGTGCTGGGATTAAAGGTGTGTGCCACCACCACCTGGATTCTATTTCCCACCTATGCTTTATAGAAAACTTTACTGACCCCTGCTGTTGATCTTAGGAGTCTTCAGGAGCCTGCAGGACACAGATGAAAGAGAGGATATTCCTATAGATGGAGGCCTTGTGGAGTAAAATGTTGGGCAGGGACAGTTCTAATTTCAATATTGTCTCTCCAACCATTCATTTAGTAAACAGTCCTAATTATTTGTGCCACTCAACTACATGCTGAATTTCCACCAGATACTTGGGTTCTTTTTTTGGGGGGGGGGTTGGTTTTTCCAGACAGGGTTTCTCTATGTAGCCATGGCTGTCCTGGAACTCACTCTATAGACCAGGCTGGGCTTGAACTCACAGAGATCCACCAGCCTCTGCCTCCCAAGTGCTGGGATTAAAAGCATGTGCCACCACCACCCAGCTAACCTGACACTTGT